GTGTATTTGACATATACGTTGCTTTGCAAAACCTAATTCTGGATAGAATGGACATTTCGGCGTGTTTGTAAACTTTCTGGTGCCTCGATGTGTGAAAAGTGTTCACCGACTTATACTGAGCTAGGCTGACAACTTAGGGACACAATAACCTTGTATCGCTCATTTGTGTGTATATAGATAGATAGATGTATATAGATAGGGATGTCATTGCAATCATCTTCTAGTGATACAATTAGTCTAGTCTCGCAAAGTCATTCTATTATTTACGGAGAGACAATGGAGGTCGGGTCCCCAGAATCAACCGGTTCTTTGTTTATAATAAATGTTATAAGCATATAGAAATTACCTTTTCAGCCTTTAATTACAATCGTAATAATTATTGAACAATTTCATGTGTATTTTTTCAAAAAAAAAATTTAGGTGAAATATTGAACTTTATTTTTACAGACTCAAAATTAAAATCCACACCCATGTAAGACCATGAAAAACACATACGCTCAAGTTTTCTTTTTCTTTTCTTTTTTTTTTTAAAAGTATATGTCTCTCACATCCTATGACTAACACTATATTAATGAAAAATGTCAGCTTAACGTCGTTAGATATGTCACGTTACGTTACAGAAGCATCTCGCCCAAATGTCCAATTATAATATGTAATTCTACAAAATGCTGCCTTTTTCTCCGTTTTTTTTTCTCAAGAAAAGCCTGATCGAGTATCCTCTCGCACCAACTTATCTTTATTTTTTACTCATATTTCAAAATACTACCCACCTTTCCATATGATGTTCCAATTTCAGTAGCAACATGAGCAATGTCAAGAATAGTACGGCAGCCGACAACGTCCTTTAACGTTTTTAATTTGTCTAGGGGGATACGTACTTAAACAGAGCCTCTAAAAAGCGACCACACCTTTTATCTCCATGGAAGATCTTAAATTTCTTATGCTACTGGAAAACCAGTAACTAACTGCATTTTTCCCAAGCCTATGTCAATAATATACGCGTTTAAGATAGAGTGATCCCGGGATTTTCACAAAACGTGTGACTTGACCGAAATTTGACATTATCTAACAACTTAGAGATGGACAATATACCATCAACTTATAAACTAAATATCCAGTAAAATCAGTAAAACTCTCACAAAAAGGTTTATAAAATATCAAGCAATCGTAATAATGACATAATTTTCGTTTTATATACCACATAGGGCCGTTTAATTCTTATTTCACGAATTCAGAATTTAAATGATAATAAACGCGTTAAGGAGGCTCATTACACCACTTTTTGATGACGTACTACACAAAAAAATAAACCTCCATTGTGTCGACCGGTTTGCCCAGGGGACGAGTAGTATAGGTACCTCTATAATATGACCCTGACCTTTAAAACGCTTTAAAAATAGATGAAACAGTTGTAAATGTTCAGTGAAAATCAAAGTAACGGATTCATTATGCATAAACCAAGAAGAATTGCTTTTAGGCAGAAACAAAAGAAAGCAACAGTCAAATCTTCGCCAAACAAGTAATGTCAATTTCATAGCCATGCATGCAGTGAACTATCAATCACGGACATGTATGTATGGAGGAAATTCGAGTTAAAATCTACAACCTTGTTGAAATTAAAATTTTATTTAATTGCGCTATTTACTGTGTTGGTGTTAATTTATATATTTGTTTTATTGATTTAAATGTATACTCTGGCAATTTAAAGCTTTATTCTGAATTTTAGATGTAATATCAAACGTTCCATAGTGTTTTGAGTCTTGGCTAATTAGGAAAGATAACTCTTGAAAGTGGACTTTCTATACCAAATATTTTTTAAATTGGATTTTTCATTTCGTTTAAACTTTCTTCATTCAATTTGACACATGTAATTCATTGAAATACATTCATTGTCTCTTCAGAACACATTTTTAAAATGTTTTATGCATAGATTAAAAAGATAATGACATTAATTGTTTTCTAGGAGAAAATTATTTTTTCTAATAAAATTATCATTAGGTATTATGAGGTATATTCACTGTATGTACTTGTCTTAAGAAGATGCCCATCATTTGACACTGAAAGTTCTGAAATTCTGTGAATAATAAACCTGAAATAAAACATTTCACTAACATAAAACAAAAACTAAAAAATTCTATAAAAAATATTTATGATATCAACACCCCCATCTGGATATTTGACATCTACATTATAAGTGGTGCTGTATTGAAATCTAAAATAAACTGTGGATGTAATGAGCCACCTTAATGTCTCCCCCGCATTTCCAAACTGTGACAGACTCATGTTTTTATATATTATGCACATGTGCATAGCAATGCATATTGCATGTGCATCTATTCATTAATTTAATTATGTATATGTTTTTACTTGCAGCACACTTCTACAGCTGAATTATATAATTATTCATTTAACCTGTAGTTAAGTGTATTGATTTTTAAATTATTCTATTCCAGAGAGGTCCAGAGTTAGCCTCAGGGCGTTAATTATATTCTGGCCATGGTCATTTTGTATCTTTTAGTTTCATTGATTTTTTAGTGTTGTCTAATGGTTTCCTATTGGTTTTTGTGTTTCCCTCCAAGTTTTCTTTGTGTTTTTGGTCAATTCTTGCTTGGTTGCCATATGTGATGGAAGTGCAGTTTTGTCATCTGAGTTTATAAGTTTTACATATCTGACATTTGACGTAGACCAACACTTCCTCTTGCATGGTAAGTAATTCTTTCATACTAATGAGTAATAAGATTCTAATTTTATTAAATGTGAAATCTGTAATTTTTGCACTTAATTCTTTAAATCACTTTTTCTGGAGTAAATGTTTAGTGAGAGTGAGACTGTAGGTATAGAGTTATGTAAATAGTAAATACATTGCTGTCTCACTTTTCCTTATTTTTTAAAGTAAACTTTATTTTATGATTAGTGTAGATATCTACAAAGATGTTTATTGTTGATTTGTAGATATTGAGATATTGCTGTCTGTGTGCAGCTTATATGTACGTTGTGTATGACCCATTCCCATTGAATGGTATGCGTGTTAATTGTTTTTATTGAACAATAATTCATTATGTACATATACATTGGAATGATAATTATTGTAAAGATTTTATTGTTAATATTCATTGATAAAAGTAATGGGAGATTTTATTATGTAATTTTCATGTAATTGGATTATCTCCCTTGATTCGGATAAAGCTATATGATATATTGATTTGTACATGTATATTGATTAATAGCTTTATAGTTTTTATGCTTAGAATTTATAATTTGTTATTTCATTATAGGGTTTTGATGATTATTGATCCATCGAATAAAGAGTTTATCGTCTTGTCAAAAACTCGAACCAACAGCCTTGTTGTTATTTAACATCCGACGCCAGTCATACCACACAAGTCTGTTACATTTTGGCGCCCATGTAGGGACAAGACACAATTCTACACTACGATGGATTAGACGTACACTCAGGACGTCCACGATTTCGATATGACAGGAAGCCTGCAGGCTGAGGTTAATTTGGTGAGCTTAGACTGTTAAGTTTCATATGAACATATATGCTTTGAGCCTAGGCGAAATTGTGCAGTAGTGACTGTGTATTCCATAGACTTATCTGCGATTCCTTCTGGATTCTGGACCGTTCCGTCCATGGACCATTCCAGTGCAGTTTATTTGTAGTGTATATATGTACATGTAAATATAAGTGTGTAATCATAAGATCAGCTGATTGGTGAGTGAAGGTAGTTTGTGTTAAAAGCCGGCCTAGACATTGTCTGTCTGTCTTAATTTTTTTTGTTCTTTATTTTTTTTTCTTTTGGGTACCCCATCTCCTATTTCAGTGTTTATTTTTATTTGAGTACTCCTAAAATTATTTAAAATTTTGATTATTTGACAGCTTATTTAAATTTGTAATCGTTTAAACTTTATTTTACATTTTCATCATTTGGCAAGAAAGTGTAGTGTAAAAGTATCCTATTTCTATATAGCACATTACCTACCCTTTAGCCTTTGTTCCCAGCTATTACTACTTAAATAACAGATATGTAGTTAATTCATCTGTCTTACTTTTGACCAAAAGACTGTAGACTGACAATACACAGATATTTTACAGGTGTTGAGTTTTACAGTGGTAGTTGAAGTGGTAGTGTTGTATTGGTTTGAGTAAAACAGGTGTCAGTTGATTGAAGTTGGGTTAAAGTGTGTCATTTTACTTGCATAGTTGTGTAAAGTAGCATAGTTAAGCAGTTCAAATTAATTCTATTCATTTTCAGAATATTCCATTTGCATACGTGCCATATTATTTTCAGCTTTCAGAAACCATGCTGTTTTGTTGACATTTTTTTTCAGATCGGGTTCGTTTTTCGTTTGACTACTTCCGTTTTCACAGTTAACTGTTCGGGTTCGGTTTATTTTCGTTTACCGGAAATTACAAATGTAAACACGCGTTTTTGACAAAGTTTATCGAAATTTGTTGTTCTTGTGTTTATTTCTTTAGAATACTTGAGTATTTCACTTGAAATTTGTATTTACTGAAACATCATTGAATGCCCTTTTGCCCTGATTTATTTTACAGCGAAGTATACAGGTAAACTTTGGTATTTGTTTGACTTTGTAATTTTGTTTGTTGAACAGCTGATTTCACAACTTTACAACTTTGGTGCATAATTTATCATTACCGGAAGTGCAAGGTACTACCGGATGTGCATTTCTACTTTCGTTTTCCATTGTTTATAAGTTCTATTTAGAGCTTACCCTCCTCAGCAATTTTGATCCATTTATTTTTCAGCATTGAATTTATAAATTGATTTGATAGCCCATATTTTGACAAATTCACATTGAATTACCCTCCTTATTATTAGATTACAAAGAATAGGATTTATTTGATTTATTTGCCCAACATTTGCCCTGTATTTTACTTAGTCTTCAGAGAGACTACCCACCTACTACCTTGAATTTTGTGCATGAATTATTGTCTTTTGTATATTCTTATATCATTGTGGTTCAACACATCAAGCATGTCTACTGAGAAAAAGTCTACAACAGAATATGAAGAAGGAGCAACTGCAGGAACCTTTATGTCGAAGGAAGAGAAAGAGCAGTTGATGAAAACCTTGGAAGCAATGAACCTGAAACCAAAAGCTGATACACCTGCGGATCTGCTTGGTTGGATGTCTGAGGTAGTCGCAGTTGGTAAAGAATCAGGAGCTATACCCAAGACGCCCAAAACACCGATCAAGCCAGAACCTTTTTCACCTTTTTCCAACACAACAATGGACTTTACGACTCCATTTAAGCATCCCGTGCGGATTGCCATGTTTTCTGGAGGAAAGAGTGACTCTACATATGAACTATGGCGTTATGAGGTTACTTGTTTAAGTAAGGAAGGATATTCCAAGGATACCATCATGAACGCTATTAGGAGATCCCTAAAAGGTGAACCAGCAAATGTGTTGATGAGGTTAGGTCCAGTCAGCACCATTGAGGAAATTCTGCAGAAGTTTGACAGCATATATGGGAATGTGCTCGGTACTGAAGACATTCTTGCAGAATTTTACAGCGCTCGACAGAAATCTGATGAGGATTGCGCAGCATGGAGTGTTCGACTGGAGGAACTTCTTAACCAGGCTGTTAAGAAAGGAAAGATTTCCCCAGCAAATGCCAATGACATGTTGAGGACTATGTTTTACAAAGGTCTGCGTCAGGAATTGAAAGACATTTCAGGACATATCTTTCAGATTACTCCAGACTTTGATAAACTCAGAGTAGCTATCAGGAAGATTGAGATGGATCATCAACCTGGTATAACAGTGAAACCTAAGCAGGTTATAGCCAAATCAGCACAGTCCACCACAGACGAAAGGTTTAGTCAGATACAAGCACAGATTCAGCAGCTATCTACACAGATACAGCAGATGGCTAAACCTCAGCACCACAATCAACCTCCTCAGTATTATCAGTATGGGCCCAGACCATCATTTCAGAGAGGAAGAGGAAACTTTCATCAGTACAAGAGAAGACCACAGTATGCTGAGATGCCTACTCCTCCTGAGGTAATGAGTGATCCAGCCCCAGCAACGAGAGATCAACAAAAAGGTAAGATTGTTTGTTTCAGATGTCATCAAGAAGGTCATCTAGCAATTGGATGTAGAGTCAAGTTGGATCATCAGAGGAAACAAGGTCATTTAAACTCCAACAGGCCAAATCCTGGGGTCGAGGATCAGGCCAGATCAACGGGAGACCCAGTGACAAGGAAGCAATAGTTGGAATATCGAATGAGGTGAACATTGAGATTGAGCAGGTCACTTGCCCAGCGCTCATTGACACAGGTGCTACAGTTTCCACCATAAGTTCAGACTTTTATGACCAGTATTTATCTCATATTGAGATTCATCCTCTTGATGAAATACTGCATATTGAATGTGCAGATGGACAACATATGCCCTACTCAGGCTATATATCTGCTAGCATTAAGCCTTATGGTACACCTCATGATGTCTTGAATGATTGCTTGTTTTTGATTGTACCTAACAGCAATTATAATGCTAGAGTACCCGTTCTCATTGGTACCAACATTATTAGTCGTCTCATAGATATTACCCGAGATGAGTTTGGATCGAGATATCTTCAAGATGCTCAATTACAGACTTCATGGTATTTAGCTTTCAAGTGTATGACCTTGAGGCAGAGAGACTTACAGCGACACAGCAATAGACTTTGTCTTATCAAGTCTGCATCTACAGAACGAGTGATTATTCCACCCAATGGAAGAGTGACGATCGAAGGATACATGGATAAGAAGCTACCATATCACAGAGTCCTTGCCATGCTTCAAGCTACAAGGAAATCCATTATCCATACCGATCTGGATATCACTGCATCACTCCATCTGTACGACCATGAGTCAAGCGCTACTATTCCTGTGGAGATATGTAATGTTACCACAAGGACCGTTGCAGTTCCACCACGAGCAGTTCTGTGTGAACTTCAACCTGTCCAAATATTGAACACCATGGTGCCTGAGCCTACTATCAGTCCTGATTTACAGAACATCTATGATAAGATCAAGATTTCACCATCAGTGTCTACAGAAGAACAACATCAATGTAAGGAACTGATCTCAGAATTTTCAGACATATTTTCCACCAGCTCAACAGATATAGGAACAACAGATAAGGTGAAACATCAGATCAACCTGTATGATACAACACCATTCAAACAGAAGTATAGAAGGATTCCACCAGCTATGATTGAAGAAGTCAGGACGCATATCCAAGAATTATTGGCAAGCGGAGTGATTCGTCCGTCACACTCTCCATTTTCTTCCAACGTCGTATTGGTAAGAAAACAGGATGGAACATTAAGACTTTGTATCGACTACCGTCAACTTAATTCCAGAACCATTAAGGATAATTATGCACTCCCTCGCATTGATGAAATATTAGATTCATTATCAGGCAACAAGTATTTTACAGTATTAGATATGAAATCAGGCTACCACCAGATACAGATAGAAGAGTCCCATAAAGAAAGAACAGCTTTCACAGTAGGCCCATTGGGTTTCTACGAGTTTAATAAGATGAGCTTTGGACTCGCCAACGCACCAGCGACGTACCAACGACTTCAAGAAGAGTGCTTGGGAGATCTCCACTTGAAGATATGTTTCATTTATCTCGACGATCTGATAATATTTTCAAGAACTTTTCAGGAGCATTTGGAGAGACTCAGCCAAGTTTTTACCAGGATTAGACAGTATGGATTAAAGCTCTCACCAAAGAACTGTGCATTCCTAATGGACAAGGTCAAGTACATCGGCCACATAGTGTCAGAAGAGGGTGTTCAGGCAGACGCAGACAAGATCGAGAAAGTGCGAAATTGGCCTACACCAAAGAACCCTGAGGATGTAAGATCTTTCCTAGGCTTTGTAGGATACTACAGGAAGTTCATTCAGAATTTTTCCAAAATTGCCCGCCCACTAATAGATGTCATGGCAACTGGTAAGAAGAGTCGCAACCCCAATACCAAGCAGCTTTCCAAGTGGAAATGGGATCAAGAACAGGAGACAGCATTTTCTATCTTGAAGGACAAATTGACATCCCCACCTGTCCTTGGTTAACCAGACTTCGCCAAGCCATTCGAGCTCCACACGGATGCATGCGGTACAGGGCTGGGTGCGGTTCTCTACCAGAACCAGGATGGACATGACCGGGTTATTGCCTACGCCAGCCGCGGGTTAACAAAATCCGAGCGGAACTATCCGACACACAAATTAGAGTTCCTTGCTCTGAAATGGGCCATTACGGAAAAGTTTTCGGACTATCTCATGGGCAACACCTTCGCCGTTTTTACAGATAACAACCCTCTGACCTATGTCCTTACTACGGCTAAGCTAGATGCTACTGGTCATCGCTGGATTGCAGCTTTATCAGCATATAATTTCACCATCACATATAAGCCAGGCAAGAATAACGCTGATGCTGATGGGTTGTCAAGACTCCCTGAGGTCATAGACTGCGACACAGTAAAAGCCATTTGTGATTTACAGCAAGGCCAACCTCTGATCGAGTCATTGCCAGTGACCATAGCATCCTGTGACCAGCTGCAGCCTTCAGATACTGATCCTTTCCAGCGTATTGATCTACATGATGTACAGGAAAGAGATGTTACCATATCTACCTGGAAAGAGCATGTTAGGAATGGCACCAGGCCCAAGAAAGATAGCATGACCACAGATCAAGACAGGATATTGTACAAGAATTTTAACAAGCTTAGGATTGTAGATAATTTATTAGTCAGAGTCACCAGTGCTGATGATAAGAAACACCAACAGGTTCTTGTCTCTCCAGAGGTCGTTCCTATTTTACTGGATTTTCTACACGACAGAATGGGACATCCAGGTAGAGAAAGGACTACAGCATTGGTGATGGACAGGTTCTACTGGCCGAGAATGCGTACGGACATTGCCAATTATATTGACCATTGCGGTAGATGTCTGAAGTTCAAAACACCCGACAACCAACGAGCTTCATTGGTCAGTATATCTACGACTCAGCCCCTAGAGCTTGTATGTATGGACTTTTTGACCCTAGAACCATCTAAAGGCGGAGTTCAAAATATACTGGTTATAACTGATCATTTTACCAAGTTTGCAGTAGCAGTTCCAACCAAAAACCAAACTGCGAAAACTACAGCTGACGCTCTGCTCAACCATTTCGTCATCCCTTATGGACTTCAGCGACAGATTCATTCAGACCAAGGTACAAATTTTTCTAGTAAATTAATTCAAGAATTATGTTCATTACAGGTATTTCAAAGTCGCGTACTACCCCTTATCATCCTATGGGTAATGGAATCACCGAGCGATTTAATAGGACCTTAATATCCATGCTTGGGACCCTTCAACCTGAACTCAAGTCCAACTGGAAAGCCTACATAGGTCCACTGATCCATGCATACAACGCCACCAGACATGAAACTACAGGGTATTCCCCATTTTACCTCATGTTTGGGAGAGAACCTAACCTACCAGTTGATTTAGTGTTTGGACTGGACAATGGTGAGAAGACCAAGAGTTTTTCTACTTATGTCCAGAACTTACAGGACCGCTTGAAGAAAGCTTATGATATAGCAAACACGGCAGCGAAGAACAGCCAATCCAGACACAAGGCTTTATACGACTCAAAGACCAGGGGAGGCATACTGAGTACTGGAGATAGAGTACTGGTGAAAGTGGTTGCCTACGATGGGAAGCACAAGATTGCTGACCGATGGGAGGATCACCCCTACGTTATCATAGACCAACCCAGCACCAGTATACCTGTCTTTAGGGTTAGAAGAGAGGATGGGGAAGGCAGATGTAAGACCTTGCATAGGAATCTGCTTCTACCCATTGGAACCAAACTCCCGTCTCCAGTACCAGCACCAAGGAAGAGCACGAAGCAGAAGGATTCACATCGTAAGCCGTCCATTCCACCTATGTCGAAGGATGATGATGACGATGATGATGAATCTGAGTATTATTTTATGCCAGGTACCGGTACCACCAAGACTCCAAAGGACCAAAGTATGGAGGAAGCTCCAGTGTCCATTAGTGATTCTACTAATGAGGAAGACGAAGGTCAGGAGTCAGACTTAGCTACAATGGATGAGGATGTGCTCAATGAACTTGTTCCTGAGGATGACCCATCCGAAGATCCTACTGCTGAAAAGACCGAAGAAAATCAGTCTACTGGGGGAGCAGCAGCAGAGGAGGATCATTCTGATGAGGAGACAGAATCAGATGATAACACAGTAGAAGACCCGTCTCCCCCACAGCGTAGGTCAGCTAGAGTCAGAGCCAAACCATAGTGGACAGAGGACTTTGTTATGTCTCAGCAAGTACAGTCCTCAGAATGGTTACAGAGGGCAAGATATTTTAAGACGTTAGTTTCTAGCGGAGAACTTGCCAGAATGGATAAAGATGCCGCAAAAGTGCTTGTATCCATAATCACAGGTAAGTGATATTTTATCCTTATTTTATGACATTTTTTTCCAGCATTTTTGTTACATTCTCGGGTTTGGTCAATGGCGCGGACGCCATTCTTGCACCAGGGGGAGAATGTGACAGACTCATGTTTTTATATATTATGCACATGTGCATAGCCATGTATATTGCATGTGCATTTATTCATTAATTCAATCATGTATGTTTTTATTTGCAGCACACTTCTACAGCTGAATTACATAATTATATATTCATTTAATCTGTAGTTAAGTGTATTGATTTTTAAATTATTCTTTTCCAGAGAGGTCCAGAGTTAGCCTCAGGGCACTAATTATTTTCTGGCCATGGTCATTTTGTATCTTTTAGTTTCATTGGTTTTTCAGTGTTGTCTTGTGCTTTTCTCTTGGTTTTTGTGTTTCCCTCCAAGTTTACTTTGTGTTTTTGGTTAATTCTTGCTTGGTCTTGGAAGTTGATGGAAGTATCGTTTAGCCATTGAGTTTATAAGTTTTACATATCTGACATTTGACATAGACCAACACTTCCTCTTGCATGGTAAGTAATTCTTTCATACTAATAAGTAATAAGATTCTAATTTTATTAAATGTGAAATCTGTAATTTTTTGCACTTAATTCCTAAATCACTTTTCTGGAGTAAATGTATAGTGAGAGTGAGACTTTAGGTATATAGAGTTATGTAAATAGTAAATACATTGCTGTCTCACTTTTTTATTTTTTTAAAGTAAACTTTATTTTATGATTAGTATAAATATCTACAAAGGTGTTTATTGTTGG